GACAGACCTCCCTCCCCGTGCTTTTAGAAATGGACTCATGACACGAATATATATAACTCAAAGGTGGTTTGAGCGAATTATTTCATGTAACCCATCAATGTAATGATTTGCTGGTTCTGTTTATCATTTGTGTGTGGAAAATCAGACACACAAAGTGGGGAATATTTGGTGAGTTTCAAATGTGTGAATGGGAGACATGGAGGGTGTTACCTGCAACTTCTAGATGAGCCAGTGTTAAACAATCTCTTGTCCTTAAGTCTGAGCAGTGGTTGGTAGGGAGAGGCCTCAACTCCTTAACAAAAGGAATAGGAAAGGAGAAGCCTGGGTCTTTTGGCGGTGGCTGCCCCAGAAGAAAGGAGCCTGAGACCCCAGGATGTGGAAGAAAGCCCTGGTTTGGAGGGGCAGCTGGAAAGGTGGTTTTAGAGTGAGTTTGATTACGTTTGTACTGAGATTTCAGTGTCGAATTAGCCAAGCAGTTTCTTTACTTTTCTCTGCCTACTTTCACTAATTACTACTTAAATCCTACTGTTTCAACTTAATAAAACCATTTATTTTCTATCAAACCCAGTGTAAGTGATTGTTACCTGGGGGGCAACCAGTGTGCACATTCCCCCTTTCATTGCTAAAGGGGGCTTACATGATTCTTTGGGCTTTGATGCCATCTGGGGAGTGCTCTCTCAGGAGGCCGGGCCTTAAACTGCACTCTCCTTGAACCTGAAGTGGTTCAGTGTCTGTACTGCTTCTCGGTGGGGACAGGGACCTTAGCTTGGGGCCTTGGCTGGGGGAGACCAGCAGAGCTGGCCTAGCAGGACCAGGCCGTGAGGAGTCCTAGAGAGCAGGAAGGTGAGTGGCAGTGGCCGTGTCAGCACCCCAGGCGGCACCCCGAAGGGGTCATCTGTGACTGCACCCCGTCACAGTCCTGATGTAAGACAAGTTCTTTCTCTTGATAGAAAATACTCTCTGCTTTCCACCGTCATAACTCTTTTTTCTCCTTTAAAATATCAAACATTGCTGAACCTATTCCGAAAGCAGACACTCGAGTTCTGAAATCTGGAGTTACTTAGATTTTTTAAACAAACCTTGTTACACTTTCAGTTGTGGTAAAATAAGTGTTTGCTTTCATTTACATTTCATTTATGTACTTAATGTTTGTATGGCAACTGAACCTCCAATTACTCAACTCACATAAATCCTGTAAAAATCAAACCAAAAGTTGTAACCTACAAACAGCAAAGAATCAAAAAACAAAAGCCAAAAGCAAACCAACACAATTAGGCTATGTCTACACTTACAGCTTCTTGCGCAAGAATGGCCATTCTTGTGCAAGAATCCGCAGAGCGTGTACACTGCCCGCCCGCTCTTGCGCAAGGAAATTTACTGTATGGCGTGGGCTTCTTGCACAAGAGCTATGCTCCTTTTTAACAGGTGCAAAAGCACAGCTCGCACATGGCAGTGTGGACGTTTTCTTGTGCAAGACTTCTTGCACAAGAACCCTTGCGCAAGATGTTCTTGCGCAAGAAGCCGAGAGTGTAGACATAGCCTCAGTGTTTACAGCGTGTGTCCCATATTTCTCGAACTTGAGTCAATTTATCAGTATTTTAAGTTACCAAAATGTGAAATTTCTTACCTGGCAAGTATTTTTTGTGGTCTGGAAATGCCAGTGTATGAGCCATCTTTCTCTCTCTCTCCGCCTCTCCCCCAGTGTCAGACAATTAGGGACTGAAAGGAACCAAAAATTAGTTGCTGTCCCTCCAATAATGTAAATATATTTAACATCCTTGTAGTGGGCATAAATGCCAAATAAACCTGTCAAAGCAGCATTTAAAGTGGAACTACACAAAAATGAGGAAACTAAATAAAAATGGATAGGAACAGTCATCAGGGTGAAATGCCTACAAACTTCATGGAGACTATTTAAAAACATCCAAGTAGAGGCTAAAACTAAAGATAAACCAGTAAGGGGTGGGGGAAAGGCCATCATGAGTAAACAAACAGTGTAGGTAGTGTTTAAGAGGCAAAAAAGGCATCCTATACAAACTGCCAAATCCTAGTGAGAGTATAAACTCTGGCAAGTCATATACAAGGCGGCAGCCCACGAAAGAATTTGAAGAAGAAACAAGCTAAATAGCAAAATGCTGCTGCTACTTTTTGTTTTACGCTGGTACTTCATAAGTGAGACGCTCGATAACAGTCATTGCGACCCCATTCGGCCCCTTTCCCCAAGTCCCTGCCCCAAGCAAGGCCAGGAGCCAGTGAGGCAAAGCGCAGTGGAGTGGAGCTGGGCTAGCAGCACTGCTGCGGCCCCTGTGCAACCCAGGCCTTGAATCCCCCTGAAGTGGAGGCAGGAAAAAGTGAAGTGGAGCTAGTTGCTCGGCTGCTGCCTCCTGTGCCGCAGGTGGAGTGGAGCAGGGATGGTAGCACTGCTGCTGGGCCCCATGCTGCCCAGGACCTGTATTCCCGAGACAGGGGAATGCAGAGAGGAGTGAGGTCCATCATGCTGCCACCAGTCCCCACATTGCCCAGGTCCCAGGTACTCTGAAGCAGGGGTGGGGTGGAGAGAGCGGGGCTGGTGGCACTATGCAGGCTCTTGCACCACCCAGACCCCACATCCCCCCCAAAGCACAAGACCCAGGGGCAAGTGCCCTGAACCATCCTATGGACTGGATGGCTCTGCTTACGAGGGAAGACTTGAAAAAACTGTTTGTTTAGTCTGGAGAAGATTAAGGGGGCAATTTCAAGACATAAAAGGTTATTAGAAGGAAGAGAGTGAAAGTCTGTTCTCTATACCTCTAGGATAGGACAAAACCCAGTGGTCTTAAATTGTAGCAAGGGAGATTTAAGTCCCTTGGATGGTTGAGGTTGGTCACCCTGGCCCCCGTGGTTGGGGGATGGGGCCCTATGCACTCAGAGGGAAGCAGGTACCAGTAGCCAGCATCACTCAGGAGGGAAGGGGTCAGGTTTTGGGAAGGATGCAGAGCGGAGGTGAGGCCAGAATAGGGGCAAGTGGAGGTGGGGGCGGGGGCAGGGCCAAGAGAGGGGTGGGGCATTGTCTCAGCCCCTGCAACCTCCCAGAAGTCTCCAGCCCTGCTTAGTGAAGATTACATTCTATTCAAAATTAGAAAATTCGATACAGATTTCTGCCACGCTGCAGAAAGTCTAAAAGACTGCTTTAAAAGTGCCAAATGTGTGTGTTCATCTCAATGTGATGTTAACCCTGTATCCAAAGGCAGTGGTAGTCAACTTGTCCTATGTGGACCTGTGGGGAGTCTACAGACTATGTGTAAGCTTTCCCAAAGCTTTCTCCATTCCAAATTTTTTAGGGGTCTACAAATGAAAAAAAAAACCCTGAAAATCACTGTCC